CAGCGGGGTGAGCAGGTAGAAGAAAACTGCGAGGAAGATCAAGGCCGAGTTGGAAAGGGATTTACACGATATAAGCGGAGGAAAGCAGTAATGAGAACCATTACTGGCTGACAACCTAGGTCTACAACAATGATGAGGACAAAGTAGGGGGTCGTGGGAACAAGGAAAGGACGATGGAAACGAAGAAGGGGTTGATGAACACCACTTGATGATGACATCTTTCTTTGGTACGACTTTGGATCATGGACATGACGAAACTTTACACAACATGGGAGCGCGCACACGGAACATCTGCTCTTCTTTTTGTCTTTCCCATTTTGCTTTTAAAGTTTCCGTTTTCTTTTATCTGTCATTCCCGGTCCGGCTTTATGGTTTTTGGGGTTTGGTTCTGGTTTTGTTTGGTTACCTACATGATGGCGTTTAGGGCGGTAGGCAAGCACAGAGGGGCAAGGCAAGGGAGAAGGTCACGGAAGGGTCTCTATCTATCTATCTAGCAGGGAATGGGTTTCTTTTTTAGCACGGGAAGAGAGTAGGTAGCATTTTTCGGGGTACAAAGTTCTTCTTCTTTTGTTGTTGTTGTTGTTGTTTGTGTGTGTGTGTATCTGTGTTTTGTGTCTGTGAATGGATGGGCAGCAGGGCGGCAGGCAGGCAGGGCGGTGGCATTTTGACGACTTTATGTCTTTTTTTTTTTTTTTTTCTCCTCCAGTTTCTCTCTCTTTCCTTTTTTTTTTTTTTTTCCATCCATCATGTTTGTTAGGGAGTACCACCACCACCAACTGAACACTTAGTACACTTGAGCACTCGTTTGATTCTGCAAGAATATGATGATACCTAGGTAGGTATACCAATTTTCGAGAACTCTCTCTCTAATCGTTTTGACACACAAACTTTACTTGTGAGAACTCATTTGAGGACATAAACATATATGTACACGTTTAATGTTGAAAACTAGGTAGGTCCTCATCCGTTAACGATGCGTCTGGATAGGTAGGTAGGCAACTAATAATACCCGCACGGTGCTATTATTGGGCTGTTCGTTCCTGTTGTCTGTTCCTGTTCCTGTTGTTCTATATACAAGTAACCAATACCCCGTACCTAGGTAGGTAGGTACCTAGCTACATCCATTCTTCTACATACTTACAGTTTGTTTTATTATTTATCTGTTCGGACTGCTCTTTCTACTGTAGGATAATAAGTGATAGTGATAGTGACAGACTGGCCTATACTAGTTTAGCAAGGTTACCTCTACCTACCTACCTAGGTATAGATAGGTAGGTAGGAGCGTAGTAGTAGGTCTAGGCAGGAGCTCGCTCCCAAATTTTAATATAGTTTATAGGTACCTTTAGACTAAGTAGGTAGTTTGTAGTGTTACTAGGTAGTTTGTAGTGTCACTAGGTAGTGGCAATATAAAAATGGCTAGGACGGACGTCCCGACCAAAGTGCGGGCATGCGTGCGTGCGTGCGTGCGTGCGCCTGGATAAAATAATTAATATATTGGTGATAATAAACTAACTTTGATATAGAGTAGATGTTTGTTGTATAAGTAAGTAAGTAGGTAGGTAGGTAGATACAAAGTGAGCTTAGTAGCGTAGGTAGGAAGGTTTCCGATTTGTAATTTACTACTTACAATTCACAGTTTGTAATTTGTAGTTTGTAGTTTATAATTTGCAGTTTGTAGTTTATAAATTGTAGTTTATAGTTTGTAGTATCACTAGGGGCTATTACATAATGTTTATGACGTTCTCAATGAAGGTATATTAGCCTATATATCAAATATAAGATAATATAAGATACTAACTATATACTTGGGTAGAGTTACTTATGTCCCTTGTACAAGTAGGTACTTACAAAGTATAAAGTACTAAGTCGAGGGAGGAAGGGAGGGAGGGAGGGAGGCTGAGAGCGGGCAGAATTGTTGAATTGTAGAATTGGAGATTTCCTTGCGCTTGTCTATAACTTGTCTATATATATTTTTTTAATAGAGAATAGAGGACAAAGGAGGACAAATGACGGAAAAATAGAGAATAGAGGATAAATGATAGAGGACAGGAAATAGAGAACTAACAAAGGATAAATGACAAAAGATAGGAGAGAGAGAGAACGTCCAATGTGTAGAGGAGACTAGGTCCTTATCAGTAGAGGTAGAGTTCGCAATAACCGTTCCTTCCTTATTTGCTTATGCCGGTTTAGTATTGCTTGGGGATTGAGTGTGTGTGTGGTGATTAAGCGTGTAATAATGAAGTGTGTGTGGCGACCAAGTGTGAGACTGACTATATAATAGTAATAAAGAAGTATCTTATTATCTATAGCGCGCTATGGGGTTTGACAAACAATGATGGTCTATAGGTAACTGTGAACTATATATTAGAAGATTTCACAGACCAAAATTGAACCATGGATTAGTTGCAAGTTGAATTAGAAAAAAGAAGAAAAAGAAAAAAAAAGAAAAAAAGAAAGTCGAGGGACACTTTCTACGATAGGATCATCCCTATTATCCTTTCTCCAAACTACCACTAAATTATCGGCATTTCATTCAAACGAACAAACTGAGTCGCGGAAATCATCCCCAAAGAAATAGCTTCCACTAACTAAGTTTTACTTTGAGAAATTCATAAGGAAAAAAAGGACGATCATCAAGTTCTTCGTTCCGTGAATTCATGCATGTTCTTGGATACTACCTATACAACATGCCCTATACCACGCAACTAATCTCACTGCTGCTGTCCAGCCATTATTAATATTTCGTACTCGACACTAGGTAGCTAGAATGAACGCCCTAATACTAACTAACGAGTTCTCCACCCTGTTGTCCTGTTGATGCTCGTGTAATACTGTCACAGTCTATCTATTAGCACGTTTCGCTCTCCCCTAGGTAGTCTAGGTACTTGTTTATCAGGGCCGGCCGGATCCCTTCAAGGATAGATACGAAGACACCCGATCCCATCGCAGAACCCAAGTTGTAAACTCACGAGTACCAAGATTATTATATGTAGAAAGAGAAAAGAGAAAAGAGAGAAGAACTCACTTCGAAATATCCCTTCCTATCTAAACTCCCCACCTTAACCGTTCCTTCCCAGTTTATTAGTTCCTCCCCTTTCCCCCCCTCCTTTCCCTCCTTCCCCCCTTCTTTCCCCTTAACTTTCCTCACAAACCCCTTAACCAACCCCTCATACCCCCGTCTCCCCACCTCCAACACCAACTCTCCTCCCTCTTTATTATCCCCCTCCCAATACTTCTTCCTCCCCCCCTTGAGTAATCCATAAACGTACATCCATCGCACTCCCACTAAGTACTCTCCACATAATTCCCTTTTTGTCTTCCCTTATCCCCACCGTTTTCGCCATCCATGACTAGGTAACCACCACCCCCTGTTTCAGCAGCATCTTGCGTTTTTCGTAATACAATCGCCAACTGTCGAGCCCAGTTTACGAGGAGGGAATAACCGGGGTGGGAAGGAGGGAAGTATGGTAGTCCAGCACGTCGATTAAAGCTATGGAGTACCACCCTTGTGCGCGCGGATCCAGGTTAGGGGGGGAGGCGCCGCCGGTTAGGGGGGTCGGCCCACCCAGGGGGGCGTGGCGTGGAAAGAAGAGTCGTAGCCGTCCGTGTTTTGAGCAGGTGGGAGGGAGGTGTTACGGCAGTGGTGTTCGATTAAAGAGAATTGGACGGAGGAGGATGTCATTCCAGTTTTTGTCTGTGGTAGTGGTAGCTGCAGGGGAAGCGGTGGTGGAGGAAGAGGAGGAAGAAAAAAAAAAAAAAGCGGAAGCACTTTTGTTATCAGCAGCAGCAGAAGAAGAAGCAGCAGCAGCAGCAGTGGTATCACCACGAGACGAACCCAAAAAAAGCGCAGTATACCCCGCATAAAACGGCTGCGCCATGTACACCCCATCCAACCACATCTGATTCGGGTATTTAGGATCCTTATGCCAGAACCCCCCTTCTGCATTTCGTTTCTGTTTGTTAACCAGCTGATCATACAGAAAGTCCAGCGCGGCTTTATACCGCCCTCTTCTTTCCGTGTCTGATGGCGAAGTGGTGGTATAAAGAAAAAGAATAGAGGAGGCCACGCGGATGTTGTTGAGCTGGTGGTCGGTATGATCCCAGGATACAAAAGTGCCGTTGGGGTGGAGGAGGGAGTCGATTTGGGTGGTTATGTAGGATAGATACTGTGCGGAAAATGAGGGAGAGGAGGTGACAATGGCTTCGAGAGAGCGGTAAAAGGTTGCTT